TAGAAAAAAGCAACTAAGTAACTAAGCCTCTAAAAACTGCTTTGTTGAAAAAACCTAGAAGAACTCTATCATTGGAAAGGGAAGTTGAAGAACAGTCAAAAAGAACGATTAATTGGGATAGCACACAACTGTTGTCTGGATACAGGAAGTGAGAAATCGTTTAGTGCAGATATAATAGGCAAACTTCTTCATCTTAATCGTGTAATGAAAAAAACATTGAGTCTTCAAATTTTTAAAAGAACTTGACCAAAAACCTGAATCTATCTAAACTTTGTAAAACTAAAGCAGAAAAAAACCAGAATATTAGACTGCTTGAAGTAAATCTAATGCTTAAAATTAATTATTTATTAGACGATAATTACAAACACAAAAAGATTCAAGAAATAGGTAAATAAAAACGTATTAATTTGTCAAGAAGATTAAACTGTCCTTGAAACTCTCTTAAAGAACCTAAAATGATACCTCAATTGGACGATTATTACAAAATTGAAAGTGCCGCAGTAATTTTCAAAAGCAGAAGAAAAACCCTAAACAGAACATTAAAAAAGCCCACAACGAATGCCGACAATAAGGTTTTGAACCCAGGATGTCTATAAAACGCAATTTGAGTTCTGTCCTTTCACGTATCAATAAACAACCTCTAGAATTTAAAAAGAATAAAGTCGTAAAATAATCACCCAAGAGAAATAGCAAGCAAGCGCAAAAAGGCCTTGAGAAAATGAAGGGATAGAAAGTGGAAGTATCAGGCTGAATAACTACAGGGATATAAGAGGCCGCACTCGACCAATAACTGTGCAATATGCGTTAGAAGACCGAAGCATTTATGAATGAGACTACAAAAACAAACAATTTTTACACCGGTAAGGTAGTATTATGCAAGTTTACTAGTACAAAGAAATCATAGACACAATGGCACTGCTATATAAAAGTTAGGCAGAATAAACTGTTTACCCAGCCAACCAATTTTCAGACTACTATTAAGGTAAGAATTATATACTGTGCGACTACAAAAAGTAATAAATCTTTTTAAAATCTTAACAAAACTGTTACTCTTTCTTTGCTTGAAAGACCTCACTTGAAAGTTGAATTTTACCAAACTATTTTAGTAGCTGCCACTGAAAAGGCTTCTGTAAAGCTTAATCTCTTGGAAGGTGACCGTATACTATATCTTTATACCTTGACAATTAAGAAAGAAGCGTTTGTTTGATTGAGATCTGAATTTATCATTTTTATAGAGTAGATTTGAAGTAACAGCTTCCCCACTTTCATTAGATGCGGTAAGCCTTCGCCTAACAAACTCAAATTTGCAACCTAAAGGCTACCCTGAAAGGTTAAAAACAAGTTCAACAATTTAAAAACTAATACTTAAATGAAAATTTTATTTACAGAGTTAGATAATCTAGAAAACATTGAGACTGAAAAAGAGGTCTCTCAATCTTTTAGTACAAAAACTATTGTAAAATGTTATCCAGCAAAAAAGGCGTACCGTTTTTAATTAAATGACTTCACATTGCAATCCTCTCTAATATTTATTGTCTATACCGTCCAAAAGAAAAACCGTACTCAGAAAATCTTTTAATAGAGACTTGACTAAAACATATTTTTCAAAGAAAGATGTCAAAACGAATAAAAAAAAAAGCAAGGGCAGAGTAATAGAGCTTTACCAAACGCGCATTGTTCAGGTAGAATTTTAGCACTCGCAGAAGATAGACTAGACCGCAATACTTTCACAGATGCTCATCATGCTGAATGTGCTACAGTTGTTC